AAAAAAAATACAAAAAGCCAAATGTACAAAGCAGGAAGGTGTTCAGTCTCACTAGTAATCAGGAACATAAACTACAGTCACAATGAAATACTAGTTTCATATTCATCAGATTGGCAGAAATGAAGTCTGAAAATATCAAAAAAGTTGGTGAGTGAACTTTTTTGTATAGTGAAATGAACTTTTTGTAAAGTATAATGAAGCGATAAATCTTATTCCCTAATGGTGGAAGTGTAAATCACCACAGCAGTTAGGAGAAGTTTAGCAAAATCTAGCAAAGTAAAGGAGTTTGTAAGTATTTTTCATGAAATTTTTGTTTCTGGTATTAGCAGAAATAAATGTTTGCAGGTCCTGATGGGAAATATATACTATTTATTGTAGGCATAATGAAAAATATGAAAATTACTGTGATAGAGAAACACACTGCATAAGAAAACAGGCTGCAGCACTGCTCTAATAAGGAATAAATGGAGCCCTAAATGTCCATCAAGAGAGTGGATGCAATGTGCTATAGACTGCATGTATCAACTTGGATAAAACTCCTAAAGTGCTAAGTAGGAACAGCAGTAGCAGGATTCAATTAATAAAAGTTAAAAAAAAAAACATGCAACCCAGTAACACTAGCATTTATAGGATACATATATAACAAAAATACAAACACATGTAGTTATATTAAGTAACAAATTTGGGGTACTGGTTACCTTTGGAGGAAAGGGACTGGGATCAGGGGAACACAAAGGGAGCGTCAGTTGTATCTGTCTTAGCTGCATTTGAGTATATGGGTATGGATTACACTAAGTCTCTTTAATATGCTAAAAATATTTCAGAATACCAATTATAAAATGAGGTAATTGATTAACTGCTCACCAGCAGTTTTGCATCTAAACAATTATACATTTTTTAATTCTTTGAAACTCTTAAAGTATACAGCCCAGCTCAGATGAAAAAAAAAAAATGACCATGGGGGATGTATTAAATTTCTAATGTGGCTGTAACAAAATTTAGAATAAAAATTTATTGTCTCACAGTTCTGGAGGCCAGAAGTCCAAGATCAAGTTGTCATCAGGACCATGCTTCCTCCAAAGGCACTAGGGAAGGATGTTCCAGGCCTCTCCCCTAGCTTCTGGCAGCCCCAAGCAGTCCTTACTTGGTACACACATCATTATAATCCTCCATCTTCACATGGCCTTCCCTCTGCCCATGTCTGTCTCTGTCCAAATTCTTCCTCTGGTAAGGACACCAGTCATATTCGATTAATGCCCATCCTAATGACTTCATTTTAACTTGATTACCTCTATAAAGGCCCTATTTCCAAATAAGATCATATTCTGAGGTGCCAGGGGTTAGGACTTTAACATTTGGGGGAGCACAATACAATCCACAAAAGGGAAAAAAACTGTCTCCCTCCTATCCCGGCATCCTACTTGTCCCAGAAACAATTACTACTACTCACTTATGTTCTTCCAGGGATACTTTATGTACGCACAAGTACATGACATATATAATCTCCATTGTAACCTCCAGCCCCTTTTCTTCCACATAAATCTCTTTGCATCTTTTTTTTTTTCATTTAATGTATCTTGGAGCTTATTCAATATTGGTACATAAGGATCTACCAATTTTTTAAAGGGATAGTTTTCTGTTGTACACATAAACTGTAAATATAATGCAGGCCAAGTTACAGACATTGAGGTTTTTAGTCTTTTGCTTTTACAAATAAAGTTGCAATGAATATCCTTGCATTTATGACTTCCTAATGTGCAAATTTATTTAGACAATGAATTCCTTTAAGTGGAGTTTCTGGGTCAAAGAATATGCTTTTAATTTTGACAAATTTTTTATAAAAACCTTTCTCAACTTTTTATTATACATAAAATCTCCTTTTTTTTTTTTTTAGATTTGGGTTTACAGCACACAGCTTAAGTTTTTTGCAAGCCAGCATCCAAGCATCCTTTCTATTTGAGGTAATCCACCACTGCCAGAACCTTGCAGGGGCAGTGCCCTCCCACTACAGAAACAGAAGGGGTCAGATACTAGTCTTCTGTCCTTGGCAACACACACAGTGCCAACCAGGACTTTGTGGTAACCCAGAGGTGTGGGGGCAATTGAGAAATTAGTCCAAAAGCAACAGAAGAATCCAAACATTTTATGTAATCCACCCCTAGTTCTAATCTTTTTATGAGCCTGGTTTATTTCAGCTTTCCTGACCATCTTGTGAGCTACCAGATAGCCTTCTAATACATTTTTTCTGCTTAAATTAGGCCAATTTGAATTTATTTACAACCAGAATTTGGGCTAATTTTAGTGGGAATTTTATTAACATAATTTGCGTACTATCCTCATATTTGCACTATACACTATAAAAACAGACTGCTTTATTTTGGGGTAGTATGTATTTACTTTTCTTCATAATTCTGTCAGCTATTGACTGCTACTATTGATATGCCTGATGAAACTATCACTTTCTCCTTTTCTAAGCTGTTACATGCCTAGAAACTAGATGCTCACGTACATTGGTCCTGTTTGTAGGGCAGGAGTAGAAACTTGCAGAGAAGGCCTGAAGGTCCTATGAGAAAAATGCATAGATTTCATCACATGTATATTAACTGCTCAGTGGTTTTTAAATTTTGGACTTCTCAGATGTATTATTCCTAAGAGGTAAGTTAACATTATATTCATAGCTTCTTTGTTATGAAAAGAATTACTACTGCTGGTGATAATTAACATTTATTGGGCCATTTTCCAAGTACTGTTGTTCTAAGTGTGTTAGTGATTCATGTAATCATCAAAATAATCCAAAGGGAAAAAAATCCTAAGAATTCACCTGTATACTCTTTTACTTAGCTCTATCCCCAGGTTACAGATGTTGATTTTGTCTTCTTAAAATTATGTGAAGAACAAAAATATGTTAAAAACAAGAATTTATGTTTTCCCAAAAGTTTTCTGATTCCTCATCTGAAATGATCAAGCCCCATTAGATACTGGTTTTATTTATGTACATAGGAATAGACAGATGCTAATGAAAATATGTTTCAGCTCCTTTCTCAAGGGATGGCAATATTTCTATTAGAATCCTCATTAGGGATTTACTTAGAATTACTATATATTAGCCACAGAAGATGGGTACCAGATGTAGATTCATCCATTCCAGAAATATTTTTATAACAGAATTTATATGAGAATTAACTATATGGAAGTAACACTTTCTGAAATCCTGCAGAAAAAATTCTAGTATCTCTCTGAACAATGAATAATCACACACTTGTCCTCTCAAAGTGAAGGACTGTATGCATAATCTCTCATCTTTACCAATACTGGCATCTTAACAAGACCTCAAAATATATAATCTACAGATTTAAACAACTTCATCTGAAAAGTACAAATATATGACAAACTGATATAAGGGAGGAGGAAAACCACTGTGGTCATATTTTAATAAAAACATTTTTTTTTAAACAGCAGAATCTAGAATAGATGACCACTAACCTTAGCTTTTAGGGATATGGCTCATATTAAGTGTGTGTGGGGAGGATGTCTGTCTTTTCTTAAATTTTCTCTACATCAAGAAACAGGAAGCAAAACAGTTCCAGCAACCCAAAATTAAGCTCAAACAGAATCAAGAAATGTTGACTTGCTGATCATTATGACTTTCATTTTTAAAAAGTATGACCAGCCTGATCATTCTCACCTTCTCCTAGTTTCTCAAAGCTCTGGGCACAACTGATTAGTATTACAAAATGTTACAGTTGACTCTTTCAAGGTCATTTAGTCTAGTCCTCTCATTTTACCTATGAGGAAATAAATCCAGAGAGATTAAATATCTTGTTTGCCAAGAACTAAATGCCTGGTGTCCTGCATCTTAGCTGACTGCATTATCCATCATACCAGGCTGACCATGATAGTGCCTACGAGAAACAAGGGCAGACAATCTCCTGGATATTTTGCTGATAATTTTTCAGAGCACTTTATCCTTCATTTAAAGTCATGATTACAAGGTTGTAAGCATGATTTTAAAAAGGAACTTAAATAGGATTTCTAAGATCAGCCTATGGGAATACCCTGCTTACTAAATATGGGTAAATGTCTAGGATAGAATTATGAGTGCTGCTATGATTGGTAGCAAAGAAATTTAGGAACCTCCTGTGCTGTCCATTGAAATTTTAACACTGAAAACCCTGTAGTAGACAGAATTTGCTTCCTTTCAGCTGCTCGTAGATTTGGTAAGCCTGTATGATATTTTTAGAACGTTAGGCTTAAAAGTCTCAGTTCATTATCTATATGACCTTAAGTGTTAGTTGACCTCTCTAACTCAGTTTCCTCGTTTCTGAAGTGGGATAACAAAAGCATCTATTTTCCTCATAAGGTAGTTAAGGTTATATGCATAATGTATATAAAGAACCCAGGAAAGAGAAGGTCTCACAAAATTTCAGTTCCCATTCCCGTGTGGCCCCTTTACTTGCCTTCTGTAACAAGTATTTCTGAGAGTCTAGTCAGAAAAAGGAAAATTAGTTTTTTTCAGTTTTTGCAGGATATGGGAAACCGAGTGAAAGTACTGAAAAGTACACTGACTGGGCTTAAAGTTTAATCACTAATCAGCCTAGTGATTCTGAATAGCTTTCCTGACCTTATTTTTAAGGCTATTCAATGGTATTAAAAAACCCAAGTGTAAATCTGTAAATATAAATCAGCTTTATAAAAACTGAAAACTGAGAGTAAGTATAAGATTTGTAAATACAAATCAGCCTTATAATTAAACTGAAAACTGAAAACTGAGAGTAAGAAATTACTCCTGATCCAAGTAGATGCATAAATCCACTGAAATCTGTTAAATCCTTGCCCTGCTAAATTACCTGCCAGAGCTGTAACTATGTATTTTCATATTCATTTCATGTTCATGTTCTCAACAAAAGTTGTACAAAAATAAGACCAAGATCCTTTTTTGCCACAATTATTTTTTACAAAACATTTCTCATTGATAGTTTTAGTCAAGAATGAGAGCACAATCATATAGAAAACCTAGATTTATTTGTTAAGCTATTACAAAGACAAAACAATTATCATCTGGAGTCCCAATTTCACTTGTTCTGTTATAGAAACTGACCTAAGAGGTTAGAATAAAGGATAGAACCTAAGAGGTTCTAACGGAATAGACTGATGAAACATGGTGAAAGGTGCAAACGTTGGTCAGAAAGCACTACTACTAGTGTATTAGCAAGGGTGTTTCTGAAGAGGCTCCCTATAAATGCCTGAATGAATTAACCTGGATCCCAAATTAGTAAAAAGACCCTTATCACTAGAGAATGAACAGAGGACAGGATTTTTCTGACATCTCTTTTTAAGTAGTAAGGGTATCCTTAGGCCCAAAAGGGGTATATCTTAGACTCAGCCCCTTTCTTTCTCTTCTTCCAGTCTACCTACACCTTCATGTACCTGTGTATTTTCACCAGGTAAGCCTGCTAGGTTACAGAAGATGCATATAGCCAAGGCAGAAATCATAGGCCTACTCAGAGGGTACCTAGACAGTTTGGGTAAACTACAAATACCCTCTTGGTTAAGTTAATTCACCTTTGTTATAAAGGTCATAGTTTCTTCTGCTGGTGACAGCTTGTCTCAGTATAGTCTCTTGAGAAAGAACTGGTTCAGTTAAGTTTTTGGAGAAGGAAAAAGACTTTCAATAACACCCACGCCACAGTGGAAGAGGTACCAAGTTCTCTCCTACAGCTATGAGCAGAATCTGAAAAACAAAAGGTTTACAGCGTTTATGATAATTATAGCTATTATTTATTGAATACCTAGTCAAGAGTGCCAGGGGAGTTAGGTATATTGTATCTCAGTCTTTGCTACAATCCTGTCTAGGAGTTGTCATCATTCTGCTTTTTCAGATGAGGAAACAAAGGATTAGACAAGTTATTTGCTTGTCCAAAGGCACAGAGCCAATACCTTCATGTGCCTTCCTCTTTACCCTGTCTCAAGCATTGATAGGTCCTAGTTCCATTATCTTGAAATTTTTAATGGTTGCATAAACACTCTAATTATTCCTTGTTCATTTCTCAAAGGCAAATACAATTTTAAATGATTAAAATGTACAGACATCATTTAGAATTCAGGTCAATTATCCAGATGAAGAAATTGCATAAGCTTTATGAATAAAGTATCTCTGCTCCAGCAGCATAAAATAAATAGAAAACGAACTCAGCTCATGAGAAAGTTTCTGGCTAGTTGATGGTTATTTCACCATAAAATTACATTACAAAGAATCCTTAGAATTCTTGCTAGGAAATTGTAGTAAAATCCCATTTGTGTAACCATTAATGACAAACAAAATTTCTCAAAATCCTTATTAATAGAAGTGGCTGGTGAGAAATCTGTTGTCCAGTTTTAATTAAAGTTAAAATTTCCCATGAAATAGAATAGTGAAGTACTGACATGTGGAACTGTGAGATCTGAAAATTAAAGTTGACAGAGCTCTGGCAATAACACCACCTAATTTTAGCTAACTGCAGAGAAGACACTGCTGATTTTAGACTGTATGATTACCAATAACAGAAGTAAATATGGAAATAAAAATTAAGTATTTAGAGAAAGAGACATAAATCCCAGAACTCTAAGAGACTATTTTCTGATAGTTGCACTGGCAACACCTAAGAGGATAACAGAGCCCCATTATCACAATTTATGGTTAGTATAAGAACCACTGTTACAGTCTTACGACAATAATTTGGAAAGCAAATGAAGCCTGGAATAAGAAGGACCTCACAACCTAACTGGATGACTGACAACAGTACAAGACTTAAGCCAAAATATGTAAATCTTGTCATGCTATTACTAAAGCTTTAATAAATGACCTGGATATGAGAGAAGTCAAGACATACTTAAGAAAATGTTGCTAAGTCAGAGGTAGAAGAACACTGTAGAGGGGAAAGAGGGACAACAATTTTAACAATGAAAATCTTATAGCTTATAAAGGAAGGGCTAATAGGATCACTAGTCCTAGCTCTGTAGGATAAGAACTAGCTACATGACCTTCAGTTATTATGTAACACACAGCTGAAACACTCAGGTTAGCAAAGGGCAGCTTATTTCTCAGAGTAACATGCAGCAAATAAATAGGGACAAAATTCAGGCAAAGCTCACGAGAATGTGATAAAAGAGAGAAAACTGGCAATGAGCTCTTATGTTAGTCAAAAAAAGGTATGAAGCAACTTGGGAAATGATAATAGCTTTGGACAACTGTACATGGACTTGATATAGTTTGGCAAATCAGCCTTGAATCCTGAGGTTCTCAGGACAGTGGTTCTCCATTATTTTCAGAAGGAGAGAAACCAATACAAGATCACAATTAAAGGCTTAAACTCAGTTTGGAATTACTTTGACTTCCGCCCTCAGCTAAGTAGCAGTGAGTTGCAGCAAATCTCTGCTTTGTGCTTTTTGATGAACATGTTAAGGCTTCAACTATTGCAGGTGGCAAAAGGTGACTTAAGCAGAGCAGGACATGATCTCAGGCTGAGCTGAGACACCTACCTGAGCCAACCAGGGAGGGCTCCATTTTCTGAAGTCGGGGCTAATGTTCTAATGACTTCACTGAAGATGATGTGTCTTATTCTTCCATGTGCTCTCTATGCCTAGCACAGTACTTGGCATACTATATAATAAGTGCTCAGGGAATGTTAACCTCAACATTGGTATGTCTGCACATCCTAATTTCTTAGATTCAAAATTATCTCAGCAATCTCAGAAATAGGTAACTAACATTTTTTCAAACTAATTTCACAGAATTCTTCTTAATTATAAAAAAAATTATTCCACAGGATTTTCATGTTCAGTCGTGAAAGAAAATAAACTACTCACCCCCAAGCAGAGTAAGTTACTTTCAGTGATCAACATCTGCATCCTCAAACTGTCCAGCAACTGTTGGTGTAGTATCTACCTCCATCCCATCTGAAGAAAAAAATTAACCGTTGAGCCAAGTCTACTGAGCATTTCTGATAGGCAGATGCCAAGTCTATTTGGACCAGAAGGAAGCTAGTTCCCTCTGCTGGTAAGAGTTGCTATTTATTTTTCTTTTGAAAATTATCAAGAACAGAAAGAAAAATGCTACCTATGGATTCAGGCCTAGTTAAAATTAATCTATACATTTAACATTTTATAAATTCTCAACCTCAACACTGAACAGACACTAGGTAGAAACTTTCAATTGCAGTAAGTCTCAATCAATCGTTCACTTTTCACAGGACTGTTAGATATTTATTGTGCAACTTTTTTTTTTTTTTTAAGTAAGAAGTCCTACACTCACAAAGCTTACAACATAATTCAGGAGAAAAGACAAAGTAAGTAGAGCAAGGTTCTTGCTTATCTCCATTTTCCTCATCTCATTAAAAAAAAAAACAGAACAGGGAAACAAACAAAAAAAGCCCTCTGGAAGAGCTGTATCCAGCCAGCTGCTTTCTCTACTTCCTCACCTCCCATTCACCCACCAATTCTTTAGCCCACTACACACTGGCTTCCGCCTGTGGTCCCTTGGCACCCCACCACCTGGACATCCAACAGGGGATACAAATGTAACATATATCAAAAATTAACTCATCATCTTTTCACAGAAAATACTTCTTTCCAGTCTTGCTAAAACCTACACAGTCCAGAAAACCTTACCACAAGTCTAACATCTGTTGCTTTTCTCTCTTAAGTAACTCTCAATCTGTTAAGTCTTTCGACATTCACTGCCACTACCTAATTTAGCCACTATTTATCATCTAACTTAAATGTAAGTTACTTAACAGGGTTTCTTTTCTTTCCTTCAGTATTTCCATCTGCAATTAATTTTCCGTATCATAGCCAGAGTCATCTTCTGAAACATTAATCAAACTAAAATTCTTCAATGACTTCCCACTGACCTAAGCATGAAGCTGAAATTCATTAAGTTTTCAATTTCCTTTAAGATACAATACAGTTCATTATTCCACCTTTATCTGTTGCTATGATAACTACTCTTCACACTCTTTAAAATAGTCCCAGACATAATAAACTGCTTTCAGTTCCCCAAAGCTGAATGGTCTCTTGAACCTTTGCACATTGATGACGGCGTAACCTGCCGCTTCCCCGTCTGTATGGAATCCTCCTTTACCCACGTCACTTTTATTCTTCTTTCAGACCTTGGCTTAGATGTCACATACTCCATTAAGCTTGAATCCAGGCTAGCTATGAAAGGTCCAACCTCTGATTCCACAACTTCTCAAGCTTCCCCTATATCTCAATGCTTTATCACAATGTACTGTAACTGCCTCAGTTAAATTTTCACTGATACAGACAGTAATCTCATCTCTCTTGAGCACTGCTGTATTTTCTGTACCTGGCACAATAGCTCAATGAATACCTCTTACATAGAAAAGCACAGGAATGTGAAACCTTCATCAACGACACCTTATTAAAAAAAAAAAAGCACATGAAGAACTGAAATGCCACTAGTAAACAGCATTTAAATGGCAACAAGAGTGCCTCACACCAGAGTTGCTAAAATCAACAAGAAATAACAAGCGTGGTGAGGATGCAGCAAAAAAGGGACCCTCATACACTGCTGAGAGATTACAAACTGTGCAGGTACTATGAAAAGCAGTATGGAGGTTTCTCAAAAAAACTAAAAATAGAAATACCATAACAACCCAACAATTCCACTTATGGGAATTTACCAGAAGAAAAGAGTCAATAATTTGAAAAGATATATGCACTCCTATGTTTGTCACAGCGTTATTTTACAACAGCCAAAATATGGAAGCAGCTTAAATGTCCGATAGACAAATGGATAAAAAGGATGTGCTACATATACATGATAGAATATTACTCAGCCATAAAAAAGAATAAAATGTTGCCATTTGTGACATGCACGGACCTACAGGGTACTATACTAAATGAAGTAAATGAGACAGAAAAAAAAAATCTTATGATTTCACTTACATGTGGAATCTAAAAAAAAAAGAAGCAAAACAGAAACAGATTCATAGACACAGAGAACAGACAAGTGGATGCCATAGGGGCAGGGTAGGGAGGAAGCTTAAATAGGTGAAAGGAGAAAAAAACAGAATGTTTGATATCTTGATCTGGGTGATGGTTACATGAGTATATACAAAGTCAAAATTCATTGAGCTGGTACACTAAGATTTGTACATTTTATTATATGACCTCCCCAAAAAATAAACTGCTTTAAAATTTGGAAAAAAAGGATAGATGAAATTTACTAAGACAGATCTCAGATTTTCTTACCACACACACATACAAAAGATAACTGCGATATGTTAATTAGCTTGACTACAGTAATCACTGCACTATATGTGTGTGTGTGTGTGTGTGTATATATATATATATATATATCAAAACATCATGTTGCACATCTTAAACATAAATTTTTTTTATTAAGGTATCATTGATTTACAATCTTATGAAGGTTTCACATGAGCAACATTGTGCTTTCAACATTCACCTATATTTTCAAGTACCCCTACCCCACATCCCTTTGCAATCACTATTTATCAGCGTAGTAAGATGTTACAGAGTCATTACTTGTCTTCTCTGTGGTATACTGCCTTCCCTGTAACCCATCTATATTATTAAATATGCAATTTATTTTTATTTTTAAAATTTAAAAAAGAAAATGCACAGATCAAACTAAATAAATAAATAAATGGCGAAAGAGTGATGTGGCTACTCAAGAGTCTAGAAGGTGGGGAAATGGTTTTGGCTGAAGGAGTTTTATATATAGGCAACTTTCAATATATAATGAGGCTTAGGAATAAAAGACCAAAAATCTCACTTTAGCAAAATGTATTTGTTTGTGACCTTAAAATCATTTTCCGTAAAGCATTAAATAACAAATTTTACTATTAAAAAAAAAGTTCATGATGAAAGATTTTTCAATGTCCAAGGGCACCATAGTTAATCAATGTAACAAAAAAAGTTGACATCTTAAATTATTTCAGCTAAGAGTTTTATAGAGTGCATGTAATCATCTGAACCATCTCACCCTAAAGCCTATTTTAGAGTTCACCACCTACATCTTAAAATGGAGAACAGAATATAGGGTGACTCAAAGCCTAAACTTTTCCAGATTAAGATATCCCAGAACTTCAAGACCTCCAGGTCACCATGTGATGTGTATGGAAATGCTGATCACAGCATTCTAAGAGGAACTTAAATGTACCAATAAACAAAAAACTATGATAACCCTTTTGAAGAATGTTCCACGTCACTAAAAATTAGAAGTGGTAAGACTCTGTAAGCAACATAAAACACTAATATACAGGTGGAGCCAAGATGGCGGCATGAGTAGAGCAGTGGAAATCTCCTCCCAAAAACACATAGAGCTATGAAAATATAACAAACAAAACTCTTCCTAAAATAGAGACCAGAGGACACAGGACAACATCCAGACCACATCCACACATGCAAAAACCCAGCACCTTGGGAAGGGGGTAAGATACAAGCCCCGGACCGGCGGGACCCGAGCGCCCCTACCCTCGGCTCCCGGCGGGTGGAAAGAAACCGGAGCGGTTTTTTTTTTTTT